AAAAAAAAACCCAAAAAAAAAAAAAAAAAAAAAAAAAAAAAAAAGAAGCTCCCTGTGGTGGCACACACCTTTAGTTCTTGCACTCTGGAGAAATGTGGCAGAGTGGGTCAGATCGCTGTGAATTCAAGGTCAGCCTGGTTCCCGGCAGTTCAGGGCCAGCTACATAGCGAAGCTCTGCCTAAAACAAAAATTAGTAAAGACCTGTGAGGTAGCCACACACACCTGCAGAAATGTGTGCGTCCGCCTTGGCACACAGAATGGCTGACTAAAAGAGGGCAACGGAAAGCTGGTAGATATCTGAAATTCTACTTGAGAAACTACTGCATCAATTCCTGGTTCAGTGGAGGGGCTGTGGGTTCTCTTTGGCACCCTTTGGGTTCGAATTCTTAGTATGGATCATTCTTGAAAACAGTTACAATATAAGTGCTGCCAAGTGGGTAGTGGCGCACACCTGTGATCCCAGCACTCGGGAGGCAGAGGCAGGGGGATCCCTGAGCTCGAGGCAGCCTGGTCCACAGAGGAAGTTCCAGGACAGCCAGGTATACACAGAGAAACCCTGTATAAAAAAAAAAAGTGTGTGTGTGTGCGCGCACATGTGATGCCAAAAAGTGATGATACCAATAAGGTGTCACTGTGGAGCCAAGGGTAGTATCTCTGGAAAGATGGGACCTTTCAAAGTGTACTAAAGAGACTTGCTGGGCTGGAGAGGCGGCTCAGAGGGTAAGAGCACTGGCCGCTCTTCCAGAGGACCCGGGTTCAGTTCCCAGCAGCCACATGGTGGCTCACAGCTGTCTGTAGTGAGATCTGGCGTGCAGGCATGTGTGCAGACAGAACATTTATACATAATAAATTAATAAAACTTAAAAAAAAAAAGACTTGCTCATATTTTAATTGAGCTGGCATGGTGGTTCATGTTTTTAATTTCTGGAGTTGGGAGGAAGAGGCAGGTGGGTTGCTGTGAATTCGAAGCCAGCTTGTTCTGTATAGAGAGGTTATTTCATTTGGTTGGTTTTGGGTTTTGGTTTTGTAGTTTTAGTGTTGAGACAGGGTTTCTCTGTGTAGCCCTGGCTATCCTGGAAGTTAGTCTGTAGACCAGGCTGGCCTCTTAACTCGATGATCCGCCTCGGCCTGTGCTGGGATCACGGGCGTGCGCCACCACGGGTGGACTGCAGGTCTACAGTTTTGTGCTTGGATGCAGTCACGCCTCAGCCTGGTCTACAAAGTGAGTTCCAAGGCTATACAGAGAAACCCTGTCTCATAAAACCAAAACACACAAAAGGGGGCTGAGGAGATGTCTCAGAGGTTAAGAGCACTGGCTGCTCTTTCAGAGGACCCGGGTTTAATTCCCAGTGGTAGCTCATGATCATCTGCGACTCCAGCAGGGGGTGCCCGGCTCACTGCACTCTCTTCGCCCCCATGACCGAGTGATTTGTAAAAGCTGGAGAACAGGCTTAGAGCCGTTTGGGGCCTTCTCTTCCTAACACGTGAGGATGGTGCTCAAGACACCTCACTGGAGGAGAATGACAACAACCCCACGATACAGCAAGGGGTGGAGGCCCAGGCTTTTCATCTCGGTGCTGGGAGGCAGAGGACTGGTCCTCTGCGCTCCGAGGTCACCCTCGGCCACACGGTTCCAAGCCAGTGGCTGCAGAGCAATACCCTGTCTCAAAAACAGAACCAAGAACGGGCAGGAGAGAGGGCGCAGGTTAGAGTCCTGGCTGCCTTTGCAGAGGACCTGCGTTCAGGTCCTAGCACCCACAAGGTGGCTCACTGCGGGCTGTAACTCTAGTTCCAGGGGCTCAGACACCCTCTTTCTCCCTACGTGTGTGTGCATGTGTGTGTGTGTGTGTGTGTGTGTGTGTACTGTACAAGCAAAACACATATTAAAATTAATTAATTAGGAGCCAGGCATGGTGGCTTATGCCTTTAATCCCTCTGCTTGGGAAGCAGTGGCAGGCGCATTTCTGTGAGTTTGAGGCCAGCCTGGTCTATAGAGGGAGTCCAGGATAGCCAGCCAGGGCTCTGTTACTCAGAGAAACTCTGTGTTGAAGAAACAAACGAAAGTTTAATTAACTGATTAATTAAAAAATGATATCTCCTTGGTATAAGAACCCAACGCCTCTAACACACACCAAACCTGCCTTGATCGTGTCCTTCTGGAACAGCGAGGGATGCATTTCTATCGTATATTAGTACTAGTTAAAAAGAAAAATATGAGATAGAGGTTCCAAGAAAGAGGTGGGAAGTAAGGGTATCAGATGTAACAGATGGGAGGGAGCAGAGACGGCCGGAGGGATGTTGAGGCTTTGGCAGAGCGCTAGCAGACCTAGGAAAGGCAGAGGAGGTGAGGGTGGCCAAGAAGAGAGGGGAGGTGGAAGAGGAAATGATAGAGACCATAGGTATGGGCTGGTCTAGAAGCTGAGAAACCAGAAAGCAGCTATTAAAAGAGAGGAAGGAGGCTGGCACGGTGGAGTAATCCCAGTACTTGGGAGGCAGGGTCAGGCGGACCTCCACAAGATGAAGACTGGCCTGACTCCATACTGAGTCCCCGGCCCAGCAGGGCTATACAGCAAGATGCCATCTTAGCCCCTCCAACCGCAGGAGATGAGGGGTGAAGAGGAAAGAGGCTGCAAGTGTGTGCTGTGAGGGAGCGGAGTGACGCTAGCCTTATATTCAGAATAAATGCCGCCCGTCTTCGCCTTTCTCTGCTAGAGCCAAGAGTGGTTTTACTGGAAAGCACAGGCTCTGAGGAATGACTAGGGGTGACTGTCGCGGTCACACACGAGAGCCTTGTTCTGTGAGAGAGCTCAAGCAGGCTGTGCTCAGAAGCCTGACCGGCTGAAGAGGGCGCTCGGGCCTGGAGGAGGCGGAAGGACTCGGGGAGAGGCGGCTCGTTAGGCGAAGGCGTTTACTGCAAAGCTTTACCACCTGGGTCTTTTCCACAAGGCGCACGTGGAAGGGAGAGGCAGCCCCTGCGTGTGGTCCTCTGCTGGCCGCCTGCGCGCTGGCCTGTGCTCCCCATAAGGGATCGTAGGGCTTGCAGGGCCCGAGGAGCCAATAGAGGGCGCCAGGGGCCCCGAACCGGAGTGCTTAGGAGCCACCACGCGGGTGCTGCAAACCAAGCATTCTTACACAGGGTTTTTTTTTTTTTTTTTTTTTTTGAGGCAGGGTCTCTCTTCGTAACCCTGGTTCTCCTGGAGTTCATTACGTACGTATACAGGCTGGCCTCAGACAGAGAACTTTATTTGTCTGTGTCTCCGATGCTGAGACTAAAGCTAGTAAGTATACGCTTTAGTAAATTCAAGAGGCAGTGACCACCAAAAGCCAGGGACATCGAAGACGCCCTACAAGCGACAGGAGAACACAGCTGGCCCCGGAGATGTTCAGATGCTGAGATCCACGGAGAGCAGAGCGAGGCACAGAAAGGACCTGGGGCTTGCACTGTGGAAGGGGTGAAAGCAACGAAGACCAGCAGACTGGGTAGGAAGGTCAAACGTCCAAGTTCTGCCCAAGTTTCAGAAAGACTTCAGGGCGACCTGAACAGCCTGGTGAGGTCCACCTGCCGATGCCTCCCCAGCGCAGGGATTAAAAGCGTGTGCCATGTCTGACAGGCCCGTGGCACACATCTTTAACCCCAGAACTCAGGAAGCAGAGGCAGGTGGACCTCTGCTTTCAAGGACAGCCTGGACTACTCTCAAAACAACAACCAAACTGAAAAACCCATTAAACAGTTTGATTTATTTGTCATCTTGTGGCTCCCTCGGACTCCTTATGCAGCCCACACCTGAGCTCCTCCACACTTTGCACAGCTTTGCGATTCCTCTGCTGCGGCAGAGAGGTGCTGGGTTGCCTTCCCCAACTGGGATCTGACCTCCAGGCCAGGGCTCGAGGCGGTGCATGGTTCCCAACAGCTAAGGCGTAGTCATTTCTCCGCCTCACTGGAGACACGCTTGCGTTCTTGTCTCTTCTCTTCTTCCGTTCGCTATGCCTCATGCCCTAGAAGTCCCAACGCTCAGCTCTGAAAGGGCCGGAGGGGTGAGGTGAGCAAGGTTGGGCGATTGGAACGCTATAGTTTGGAATTATGACCGTGGACTGAAGTAGCGGCCAGCAGAGGGCGCGCTGGGACAGGGAGAGACGCGGCTGCCGACCTGGGCACCGCGGGGGCGCACTGGTCGGGCGCGGAGCATCCCTGGGGGCGGGCGCGGAGCATCCCCGGGGCGCACTGGTCGGGCGCGGAGCATCCCGGGGCGGGCCCGGAGCATCCCCGGGGCGCACTGGGTAACGCGGGAGCATCCCCGGGGGCGCACTGGTCGGGCGCGGAGCATCCCCGGGGGCGGACGCAGAGCATCCCCGGGGGCGCACTGGGCGGGCGCGGAGCATCCCCGGGGCGCACTGGGCGGGCGCGGATCATCCCCGGGGACGCACTCGTGCTGCTTCCCGGGGACCGGGGTGCTTCACCAGACTAAGGCTCTGTGCAGCGTCGCCCGTGCCCTCTCGCGTGGACGTCAGCGCCGCCGCACAGCTCTTACTGCGGTGGTGTTCACCGCCTCCTGTGTGTTCAGTGTCAGAGGGGATAAACGGCCCGACCATCCCGAGTTGTGGAAGCGTCGCCGTTAGACAGCTTTCCCATCCTGCGAGGGACCCACCGCCGCGAAACAAGGGCAGCGAGTTCTAGGCAAAGTGCGTGGACAAGGCGGAGAAGGGCTTCTGCCACCCGAATCCAGGGACACCCACGGCCCCAGGCGGGAGACCGTGGCCAGGGGTCAGGGCCCCGGCTGACCCGGAGGAGGCGCACTCCCGGCCTCAGCCTTCAGGGCGCTGGGACCCTGGGCGCGGTCTGCCTTAGCCTAAAGAGAAGGCATCTCGCGGTGCTGGCTACGGGTGTGCACGGCGGTTAGGGCCGAGGAAGGAGGACACTTGTCTCCTGTCCCTCTGAGACTTTGTCGCTTGTAGCCCAGACTGTGCTTGAACTCACTATCTGACCCAGGCTGCCCTCGAGCTCGAGGCGAAAGCGCGAGGATCGGGAGTTCGAGGCCGAGCTGCCCGGTTTGGTTTGCTTCTGTTTCTCGGCGACCCTAAGCACATAAAAACGAAGGGCTTCGGCTCGCGACAGCCTCCGGCGCGCTCTGAGCGGAGGCGCCAGGCCCGGAGGAGCCGGACGCCAGGCACCCGCCGTCCGAAGACCCGCCCACCCGGGTCGTCAGGGGCAACCGGGAGGCTCGGCCGGCCCCCGCCCGGCGCGCACAGGCCAGGTGGCCGTTGGGGCGCCACCAGCCGGTTTGATTTCCCGCGGCCGGTGGAAAGGGGCGGAGGGGGGAGGGGAAACGAGCCACCGGCCAATGGGCTGGGCCGGCGGCGTCACGTGAGCGCGGGAGGCGGGGCCCGGGGCTGCGGAGCCCGGCCCGGGGGCGGGGCCGGGGGCCTGCGTCGCTCCCATTGGCCCGCGGCCTGGGGGCGGGGCCCGAGCGCGCCGCCACAGCCGGCCGCGATTGGCCTCGGCCGTCGACCCGCGGCAGGCGTGCGGGCGAGGCTCGGGGCGCGAGGACCGAGCCGGGTGGCCGGTCCGCGAGCCTGGGGGAGGGGCCGGGGCGGTGGTGGTGGCAGCGGCGGAGGCGGCGGCGGCGGCGGCGGGGGCCGGTACTGGACCCGGCGGGATGAGCGAGGCGGAGGCGGCAGTGGTGGCGACAGCGGCCCCCGCGGCGACGGTGCCCGCGACGGCGGCAGGGGTGGTGGCGGTGGTGGTACCTGTGCCCGCGGGAGAGCCGCAGAAAGCAGGCGGCGGGGCGGGCGGCGGGGGCGGAACCGCCTCTGGCCCCGCCGCTGGGACCCCCTCGGCGCCCGGCCCTCGCACCCCTGGCAACCCGGCGACGGCGGCCTCGGGGACTCCCGCGCCCCCGGCCCGGAGTCAGGCGGACAAGCCGGTGCTGGGTGAGGGGGGCCACGCGCCAGGGCGGCTCTGGGGGCGGCGGGCTGGGGGAGGGGCGGCCGGGCCCGGAGGGCCAACGGGTCCCGGAGCTGTCCAGCAGCTTAGCGGACTCCCCCGGGGGCGCCGCCGCCGCGCCCTCCCGAGCGGAGCCCCGGGTGGGAAGAGCGGCCTCGGGGCCCGGCCACGCCCCGGCGGCGGGACCCCTGAGGCGGGGAGGGCTAGACAGGCTGTTGGGCTTTGGCCCCGAGGGTGGACCAGGTGAGTACCCGGCCCGGTGAAGGCCTGCACGGTGTAGGACGTGAGAGCACGAATCCCCCGTGTGAGTGGGGGATTCCAGTGGATGGAACCGGGGGAGAAGGCCTTAGCGCTCCCAGGGGAGCCTGGCGGGCTCGCAGCTCGTTAGGGAGGCCGGTTAGGCTCTAGCGTAGTTTGTTCTCAAAACTCAGCCCGGCCCCGTCTCTTCCTCCATCTTACTGTCTCACTGCATCTCTGCCTGGCAGCAATCCAAGTCCTGGGCACTGTCAAATGGTTCAACGTCCGGAATGGTTACGGATTCATCAACAGGTATCCGAGGAACCCAGGGAGGGGAGGAACCGGGTGTCTTTTTCCGAACTGGCCCGTGGGATTGGACACCTTGTTTCATCTCTACCATGGCACATGGTGGCGATGTCCAGCTGAGGCTGGTTGAAGGTCTTTAACCACAGCACAAATGTTTGCTCACTGGCAAGATGGCGCTCCGTCCATGTCTTCAAGGGCAGCGGAGGATTAATGATCCAGGAACTTGGCAAACCCGACCCTGGCCTTCCCAGCTCCTCTGCCTCACCCTCTGTAGCTGCTTCATTATTTTTTAGCTCACTGTGTGCCTTTCGGGTAGAATGTTGGGGGCTCCCGAGTGGAGCCCTCACTGATTTCCTGATTAAGGACACCACTCGCTGGCCCCTTCACCGCTTATCTCCCTTAAAGAGCTGTGGCTCATTTGACCAGCCCCCGCCCCCCTTAGGCCTGAAACGGTGTGTAGCTGGGAGGTGCCTGTCAGCTGAACTGCTACTTTCCTTCCTCAGCAGCCTCACCCTGCAGAGTTGGGAGAGCAGATGCTGACCAAGTAGAGCCAGGCCTCTGCCTTCCCCAGCCCAGCCCCCCTGGGAGCCTCGGCCCCCTCTCTACAGGCTGACCTTTGTGCAGATCTGAGTATTTTAAAACTAGAATGTTTGTCCGGGTTCCTGCAAGGAGTACCGCCTGTCTCCTGTCCTGGGACCAAACCAGAGTCAGAGGCCAGGTGGTGCTAGAGAACGGGAGTGTGGGCGACCTCTCCTCAGCCTGCTGTGGAGAGGCTGTGGTTCACCTTCAGATAAGACCTGGCCCTATTGCAGTGTTCCCGGCTCACACTGTATGCCCCTGGCTCTGGCCCTGCTTTCTCCCTCCTTGACAGTGGAAGGAAGGAGCCTGTGGAATTTTCCAGCCCCCACAGGGGGCTAGGGGAGGAGGGCATATTGGCCAGGGACAGTTACACCCGGCACCAGCAGGCTCTGCGGCGCCCTGGGGAGAAGGGACGCTGACCTGGCTCCTCCAAGGTGCTCTTGCTGCCTCCCCTACTTTCCCTATGGTGTCCAAGTTTTTCACCGAGGGTTTCCGGCATGCAGCTATCTGCACCAGCTTTCGGGGCCCCTCTGGCTTCTTCATGCCCCCAAGGAAGGAGCTGGGGTAGTGGCGACGATGCCCTCCTTGGGCATGGGTGCCTGGGGAGGCGTCGGCGGGAGAGGGCGCCTACCTCCCCTCACCAACCCGTCCTGTCCCGCAGGAATGACACCAAGGAGGATGTCTTTGTTCACCAGGTAAGGGCTAGGCTGGCGCTGTGGGGGGGCACCGGCCTCCCTGGAAGCCTTTGGCCTAACACATGTAGCTGCACACACTGTGTGGCTCGTACTTCACGATGGCCTGCCCGGGAGGAGTAGCTGGCGTCGCCTCAGGTGCCTGTGTGGACCACCATTAGCCCCACATTGGCTGAATTGCTGAGCAGCTGTCAGAGCCGTGGGGGTAGCCCTCAGGGCTGCCCACCGCCCCACCACCTCCTGGGACCTGTTAACAGCACAGGAAGGAATGAGGCAATTTTCCGAGGGGAAGGCCAGAGGCACTTGGGCGCAATGTCAGTGGTTCGCAGCAGCAGCAGCAGCACCTGAACCCTCAGGCCCCGCCCGGCCGCTGCGTTAATCAGACCCGGGGCTGGGGCGGGCACTCTGTTCTAACACGCTCCCAGGTGATTCTGGTGCTGGCTAGCTTGAGAACCACTGCTCTGGTGGAGAGCGCTCAGTGGGATCGAGGTAAGCGCAGTATGTTTCACCCACTTCACACCTTAAGACCTTTCAGCCTTTGTTTTGCTTTTGAGTTTCTGCTGCCTCCATTTTTTTTGCAGTCCTTGAGGGGTACAGGGGGAAGGGAGGACATGTTGGGGACAGTGGTGACTGCAGTGGGTCCCTCAGACCTCTAGGCCATGACTCTCCCTTACTAATGCATTTATCTCTCGTGGTGTGGAGCCTCCTCCGGGCCCCTTCCCTCCTGCTCTGACCACTTTCCTGCTCTGCCCTTGAGCCCTGGACTCCAATAAAATGTCACAAAGAAGGAAGCTGGGAAGAGGCTGAAGCTGGGTCGAGGGCTCCTGGTCTTGCTGCCCTCACCTTCCTCATGACTTTTCCCCAACCAGACAGCTATTAAAAGAAACAACCCCAGGAAGTTTCTGCGAAGTGTTGGCGACGGGGAGACTGTGGAGTTTGACGTCGTGGAAGGAGAGAAGGTTGGGGAGCTGCTGCGGGTGGCCTGGAGGCCAGCACTGTGGGAGGGTGGCCTAGAGGCCAGCACAGGCTTGGACCCTCCTGACAGCACGTCCGCCTCTGGTGTGGGAATGGGGCCTGTCCTCTGTCACCTGGCTAGGGATGCCCCAAGACATGTCCCAAAGAATCCGTCCCTCTCGCCAGCCAGTGAGGTCACTAAGCACGTCCCTGTCTGTTTTCTACACGGAGCCTCCATCCTCTGGAGCGAGGGTGGGCCAGTGGCTCTCACCCTGCCCCGTCTTCACGCTCTGTAGGGACTGTAGCGGTCATTTCTAACCACAAGGGGCTTCTCCTCGGATGGGCACAAACTCCTGCTGCTGCCCACGGGGAGAGGGAAGGGGATGAGTGATATTGAGGAACAACAGGATAGAGGATTTGGGCCAGAAGAAGAGGGCACCAGTGATCTGGCCGGTCTGTGAGTTTGCTGTGGGGCGGGTTCTGATTGCTTCCTCCCTCCCTCCCTCCCCAGGGTGCAGAAGCTGCTAATGTAACTGGGCCTGGGGGGGTGCCAGTGAAGGGCAGCCGCTATGCCCCAAATCGACGTAGATTCCGCAGATTCATTCCCCGGCCTCGCCCAGCTGCCCCCCCACCCATGGTGGCAGAGGCTCCCTCAGGCGGGACAGAACCTGGCAGCGAGGGCGAGCGGGCAGAGGACTCCGGGCAGCGCCCCAGACGACGGCGCCCACCACCCTTCTTCTATCGAAGGCGGTTTGTGCGAGGCCCTCGGCCCCCTAATCAGCAGCAGCCCATAGAGGTGAGACACAGCTGCAGGCCGGGAGCCAGCACTCCACATTCTGGAAAGAAGTGGGCAGAGACCATGGAGTCGTCACCGGGAGAACTGAGCTGGGAGGCACCGAGGTGGCCTGGGTCAGCTGGGGAGCGCCATCGCCCACCGAGGCCTTAATGTATTTCCAGGGCTCTGACGGGGTAGAACCCAAGGAGACGGCCCCATTGGAGGGTGACCAACAGCAGGGAGATGAGCGGGTGCCCCCACCCAGGTTCCGGCCTAGGTACCGAAGGTAAGACTATGAGGGGTTTTTTGTCTTCCCCCTCAGGGTCCAGCGTTGGGCTCATCATGGGAAAGGAGAAAACGGGGAGCCCTGGGAAGAGAGTCTGCCCTGGCTTCCCTGGTCCTGTCAGAGTTTCTCTTTTTAGGCCTTTCCGTCCCAGGCCACCCCAACAGCCTACCACAGAAGGTGGGGATGGCGAGACCAAGCCCAGCCAAGGTCCCACTAATGGCTCCCGGCCTGAGCCCCAGCGGCCACGAAACCGCCCCTACTTCCAGCGGCGTCGGCAGCAGCCCCCTGGCCCCCGGCAGCCTATAGCCGCAGAGGTGAGGGTCTTGGCTGCCCAAAACTTGGTGTGGCAAAAGCCGAGATCAGTTGTCCTCTTTTTTTGTCCTTTTCCTCTGCTTCTAACTTCTGCCCATTGTACCTCTACTTTCCTTGTCCCCATCCCTCTGCCGGCCTGCTTGGCCCACCCCAGACAGACATTACCCTCACCAGGAAACCCCTGCACAGGCTGCCAAGCTCATGTCTTGTCATGACCCCCCTCCCCACTCCCAGTGGTTGGGGGGGGCCTTGTGGGGGGGCTAGTTGGACGGAATGAGAAAAGTTAAAAGTAGACTTTGAAGGCTGTGAATAAGTCTTATTCCCCGCTGCTCTCTCCAGACCTCAGCACCTATCAACAGTGGGGACCCCCCCCACCACCATACTGGAGTGATTCCAGCTCAGAGGACACCCAGAACTACCATCTGGTGAGAGTCTTGGCTCCTCAGGGCAGATGAGTGCTGGGGCTGGATTCGGCTAAGTTACCCTTTATGATTTGTCTCTCTCTCGTCTTAGGTATCTGCCAGTTTCCAACTGACTCTACCCAACATCCACCTCCCCCCTTTCCCATAATTCATGACATCAAAACATCGGCTTTCCCCTTGAGACTCAGGAGGGCCAAAGCAACAGCCTTTGGCTTTTTTCTCTTTTTTCCCCTCCCTACCAAGGGTTGGAGGAAGGGTCCATCCTTATTGTTCGCAGGCATCGCCTCCCTCCCCTAAGTCAGGCTGAGAAGGAACCAGCCAGCACTCACCTCCTCCTGATTGTTTTTCTTTCCCACCCATTTATTTTTTGTTTCCCTTCGCCCTCCCCCCAAACACCTCTGAAGCCATTTTATGAACTGTCGTGCCGCCTGAGCCTCCAGTAAAAACAAAAGCAGGCTTTCTTGTCTTGGTCTCTGCCTTTTCTGTTGGAGAATGCAGAGTCGTCGCCACCCACTGGTGAACCACCCTGGGCTGGAGTGAGGTGTGCACAGGGGCCGCTGCTGACTCCTGGCTCCACGGACAAGAGCCCAGCAGCCAACTGAGGGGGAGGTCTCTGCAGTGCCTGGGTTACCAAACACTTAATGCCAGCTAAAGCAGTAGGTAAAGTAGGAAGCCAGGTGTGGCAGCACTCAGGAAGCTGAGACAGGGGGCTTCCTAATTCCAGGTCATCCTGGGCCACATAGACTCAAGAAAACAGATTGTTTTAAAAAGTGGAGCATAGTTTCGGGCCTCTAAACCCAGCACTCTGGGAGGCTGAGAAAGAGGTTTAGTACAACTTCAAGGCCAGCCTGAGCTGTATATTGAGACCTTTTTTTTTTTTTTAAAGGAGGGGATGAATGTGGATATGAGTAAGTGACAGAATCTAGGCTCCAGGGGCTTCTGAGCCCTGAGCCAAGGCAGGACAAAGAGGAAGAGGGTGGGTTAGGGCACCTCTCTGTACCACACCCTCCAGTGCCTCCACGACAGGACGCTCACCTTCAGACAGTGACTTTATGGATGAATCTCTATGTACACATTTACCGAGCAGCCCTTGGGGTTCTGCTCCCTACCCGTTCAAGACATGAAAAATACTCAAAGGCTCCCTCCCAGCCAGCGTTTCTAGGCAGCCTTTCAAGTCCCTCCTGCCCTAGTTGGTCGAAAGCTTTCGGATCTAGCAGCCTTCCTGGAGGGGAACGAGAAGGAGCTGGTACCCACACTTGGCCATCCGGGAGCAGTGGGCTAGGACCCCAAATCTAGAGACCAAAGCTTTCTGCTGCTCCTCGACAAGTCAGGTACATGCTGTTGTGCTCTTTTGCCCTGGAAGGCCAGGCTAAGGCCAGGCTCTGGGAGGGTGTCCTTTACCCTGGAGGGGGCCAAGACAACCCCCTTCACCCAGAGTCTATGTGGCAAGAATTCAGTGAAAGTGCCAGATTGTGGGGAGGAGTCAGCGTTGGCAGGAAAGCACCCCTATCCACCTCTGTTCTGCTCTTCCCACTGAACCCAGTGCCCTTCCTGCAGACCCAGAGTCCGGGCAGAAGCAGGAGGAAGGCAGGAGGGGAGAAAAGCCCGCTCAGGTGGCCACAGCCTAGCCACAGCATAAATAATCCACAAGAGTCACACGAGGGGAAGGGGGCCTCTGAACCACCCTGCCCTTCAGCCCCCAGTTCCCCAGGCTGCAGGCTTCTTCATCCTGGAGCTAACAGGGAAGAGAGAGTTAAAGTGCCGCAGAGGAAAGGGAGTCTGCAGGCAGCTCTCACCCTGCCCGGCCCCTCAGTCATTCTCGTCTGGCCCTAAGTATTCAAGTTCTGTACTGGGTTTCACCTCCTGCTCTAAGAGGGAAGGAGTCCGGCGGAAGGCGGCTGAGATCTGGTCAAACGTCCGGCCTCGGGTTTCAGGCACTTTTAGGAAGGTGAAGATGAAGAAGCCAAGTAGGAGGACGGCAAATAGAAGGAAGACGTAGGGGCCCATAGCATCCTGGGACAGTGGGAAAAAGAGGTTGTGACAAGAGGGTGGGAAAATAGAAGGAACACACAGGTAGGGGCACAGAGCATCCTGGGACAGATGGAGAAAGAGGTGTTGCCGGGGTGGGGTGGGAAGCCAGGAACTAAAGACTAGGGGAACTGGGGCTACTGGAGGAGGTGGCTCCTTTAAGAGGCGATGGAAAGGACCAGAAATGAGAGTTTATGTTGAAAAACTCCTTTAGCTTTTTAACCTTTGCTATCCTAAGAATGTATACTTGGAGCAGATTCCTAAAGCCATTTATAACATTAACAAAGTTTGTAATTTTATTTCTGGTCTAAATCATACCACTGGCTTATTTTTCAGAAGACACCTAAGCTGCTTTCCCATCTGCTCCCCCTCCCCCGTTTCTCTCCTTTGATTCTGGTGTGGTAGGGTAGCTCCGCCAGACTGAGACCACCACCCGTTGGGCTGAGAGACCCTGGGCAGACAGGGAGGGGCTGGGGCGAGCTGCCGCCCCTCTGGCCGCTGGTATCAGACACTGGGTAAGGGCAGGGAACCTACCGCAACATACTGGAAGCCCATGCCAACGATGAAGTTGCAGGTCCAGTTGGAGAAGCCAGCTACAGCCATGGCTGCCGGGCGAGGTCCCTGGCTGAAGAGCTCAGCCACAATGAACCAAGGGATGGGGCCGGGGCCAATCTCAAAGAAGGCCACAAAGCCAAATATGGCCACGATGGAGACATAGCTCATGGCTGGAACCCGTTCCTAGAGACCAGGAAGGAATGATGGAAAATTTGGTTCTGGCCTCTCTAGATTGCTCCCCCCCCCCCCCCCTTGCCCTTGACACGGAGAACTGAAATCTCAGGCCCTGGGGCATCCTCCACCTCCTTTTAGACAGGGCTCTCGGTATGTTGCTCAGGTTGGCCTTGAACCTGCACCTCAACCTCCCAAGTGTTGAGCTGCCCTGGAGAACTTGAGTGCTGCCATTTTGTTGGCTACCTCAGGAGGTTTCAAGGTAGGGAGAATAGCCTGGTCTCTTGCTTCTAAGATGTTGATTCTCCCTTGGCTCTGAAGGTGTGTCTTTGGGAATTACTGCTCCAGAGGCCCCAGTGCGGCCAGGCTACCTCAGAAAAATAGACCACAGACCTTAGCACCCCTGGTCCTGGCATACTCTCAGGGGTTGTGCCCGCAGGCTAGACCGCTGTGTGCTCACAGCCCCAAGGCCTCACCAGCAGCAGCAGAGCCACAGTCATCAAGATGGCACAGCCACACATGCCTGCCAGGCCCAGGAGATGGAGGGTCCGTCGCCCGGCCCGCTCTACCAGGAGCACCTGTGGGGACAGTGATCGGTGGTGCGAGGGGGCTCGGTCGGTTGGGCCCTCCGGGGCACCCGGGGCTGTAAGAGCGGCGGTGTGGCCGTCCTCAGGCAAGCAGTTACCGAGACCAGCGTGAAGACCGTGTTGACCACGCCAGCTCCTATGGTGGCGTAGGCTGGCTGTCCCACCCCAGCCGACTCGAAGATGCTGGTTGAATAGTAGAAAACCTGGAGGCGAAGGAGCAGGAGTCAGGGTTGCCAGCCTTCCCCTGACTGGACTGGACGAAAGGCTGATGGAGGAGGAGGCCGGTTCCCGACCCGCGCCCCGCCTGGCCTCCACGCGTACAGCGTTGATGCCGGACAGCTGCTGGCTCAGCTGCAGCACCACGGCGATGGTCAGGGGCTGCCGGTGGGTACGGCTGCCCAGGAGCTGCAGCAGGGACATCGGCCGCTCTCGCTCCAACTTCCGCTTCTCATCCTTGAGCTCAGCCAGCGCGTCGGACACGTCGGCCCAGCCTGTCAGGCGCTTCAGACCTGGGGGCAGGGAGTGTCAGGCGCGGGGGGGGGGGGGGGGGGGGGGCGGGGGACCAGCAGGGCGGGTGGAGGCGAGAGCTCACTCTTTCGGGCAGGCCCCTCCAGGTTGCGGATGATGTAGAGGTAGCGGGGGCTTTCGGGACAGAAGGGCAGCAGGACTAGCTGCAGGACAGCAGGGAGCACCGTGATGGCCAGAAGCAGCGGCCACAGGGCAGCTGTGCCCAGCAGGGACTCCAGGCCCAGCACCTGCCGGGGAGGTAGAGAGGACAGGTGACTGATCTCTCTGCCCCGCCACAGCTGCCCACTCCAAGTCCTGCTCCTGGCCCCCACAAGGCCTATTTACCTGGGCAACCAGAATGCCAATGACGATGGCCAATTGGTTGAGTGTTCCCAAGGCACCCCGAAGATGAGTGGGGGCGATCTCTCCCACATACAGGGGCACCAACCCCGATGTCAGCCCTGGGCAGGAGGGAGAGGACAGAGCCGAGGAGGACAGCTGAGCGCTCCCACGCAAGCCCACACACAATTAAGTAAAGCAGAGCTACGGAGTAGAGCCCCAGCTCCCGAGGGTACCTGAGTAGGCGCCGATGAGAAACCGGCCGAGGATGAGTATCTCATAGGAGGCAGCCGCGTTGGCCAGGCCCATGAGGACGCCCCCCAGCACTGCCAAGACGTTGTTGGCCAGCATAGCCCTTTTCCTGGCAGACACAGAAGGAGGAGGGCTCGCCAGGGCCCCCAGGCCCCGGCCCCTCCCTGCCGCCCCACCCCCACGCTCCAGCTCCTTACCTTCCCAACCACTGAGAAAGGACACCAACCAGAAAGGAGGAGATCATGCCACCCACGGAGAAGATGGCGACGGAGAGGGCCCAGAGTGTGGTGAGGGTGCCTGGCGGGATGGAACCCGGTCCCTCAGGGCCCTGCCGCCCCAGCCATGTGGCATTGTAGCTCTGTTCAATCACCTGGGGGGGGGGGGGCACAAGGCAGGAGTGAGTCCGGCGACCCTTCTTCCTCCGACACCCGGGCCCCCCCACCCCCCGCAGGGTGCTCACCTTCTGAGGGGCATTGATGACTCCGATGTTATAGCCAAACTGAAGGGAGCCTAGCACAGCTGAGAACACAGCAAGGACCAGCGTCCCGGTCACTCGCTGCCGAGGGGGCTCCCCGTCCTGGACAGACAGACAGAAAGAGAGGAGAGTCAGGGAGAGTCCTCGGCAGCGGCCGGGGCCCCAGCTACAGCCTGATGAGGCTGGGCTCCATCCAACATACTGGGAGGAGAAAGTGGGCCATATTAGGAATTGTAGAGAGATCTCACTGTAAACAGCGCTCAACGGGAACCTAGGCACGCAGGGGAAAACGATGCCCGAGCTCACTCGACAGCAGACGGCTCAGGATCTGCACCTCAGACTTGCCCTGTGACCTTGAGGCAGGCTTAGATTCGTGTGTGACCTTGGCTAAGTCACTTCCCCGCTCTAAACTGAGCC